CACGTCTCCACTTGCTCCATGTCAGTTTGCAACCGGAAGCTGTCACTGGGTTTGGCCTTGTTTGGGATTGGGTACTCCCCCTGCAAATTTACACGGAACCCGTCCCACAAAAGGAGACCCATGGTTTCCCCATGTTGACCTGAGTAGCTATTACTTCACTAACAAGGATTGAAACTCCACAGGCCGGACTCAGAAACATGCTTTGTTCTAACAGGCTACACAAAGGCTAAGAATCTAAGCCAAAAGCATGCAAGTACAGGTTAGGACCTTTGAACGTTTGGTGCCGGCGAAGTTGGACAGTAAATGTGGCAGGATTGCACGGCAAACGGCAAATGATTAATTCGCCAAGTCTCGCCTAAGATGGTCCAAAAGGCGTGGCTCGTTCGGGGAAGGCAGAAAGTTAGGTCATTTTGCGGCGCTAAACAGACTTCAACACCAACGGAAATCCCTAATCCAATTTGAAACTGACTAACTCTAAAGTGCACAACCGCGACACTGGGGATCATTTCCGTGAAAGTCATGCACAGATGCTGGAACTCGTCGAGTAGCACCTTCTTGCCAGCCCAAGCAGGATCAGTATGCAAGTTGGAAAGCCCTTTTAAAGGTCCAAACGGTGCAATGTTTCAGCATTTCAAAACGGAAAAAGCAACCTAGTAAAAGCAGACTGACCGCGAGCATCCGCAACATGAGGAATGTTGACCCTGGATAAACTAACCCGTCCTGTCAAAAGGGGTGAGATGCCACAACAGTGTCAACTCTCTAGGAGAAGCACAGGGAACCCCAATTCACTCGCATGAGCCATTGCACCCAGGTCTTGGAGGAACAAAGTGGAGTGTCAAACTAGGATTGAAGTTTTTTCTCTTCGAGTACCAACAGCGAAGCCTCCCCGTGCCTCTGCCTCTGCCATGTGCCCGCGCCCCCGGGCGTGCAGCCGCTGCCGGCGACCGCGACGTTCTGATCATTGGCGCCGGTCGAATCGACGGGAACGGCAGCTGCAATGCCATGGCCATGGCGTTGGCGACCCGTGGGATTTACTTGGAGAGAATGCGATTTCTACAAGTCTTGAGAATGAAAAACATGCCGAGCTTGGTGAAATGTATTGTGACATTGTCAGGTTCTCATTTGTTGATTGCGCAACGCATCGCAGCCAACGAAGCTGATGCCAATACGGCAGGTCGGTCAACTGCATGCAGGTCAGTCTGCCGTTCGATCATTCTGCTATCTTCTCACCAATGCTTCAGAAACAAAGAAAAACCAAGGACCCTTTGAAGAGGCTTCCTGCACCATTTGGAGACCTCTTTTTGCCACAAAGGCCAACATGTAAACCCAAAGAGCCTGCGATCTTGGCAGAACCGTCAGGCACCTCGCCGCAATGTAAAAGAAAACCATTAGATCCGGCAGAGCATGCCCCATTGTGAGTTGCTTCACAGAAGGAATCATGAAGCTGTTGCCAATCAGGAGACCCAACTTGCTAGGCAAGAGGCATCAAGGCAAGTCGTCAGCGGATCGAGCTGAAGCCCCTGAATGAAGGATCGCCGGTTTCTTCGCCAATTAACTGGAGGCGTCCTTACACATCAGCAATTGGCACTGTTTAAACCACCCCCAAAACAAGGAAGAACCAATGGCCCCATGTTTCCAGCTCGGGAAGGAGGCAAGCAAAGAAAGCGTGCCAACCGCGCCAGCGGGCCTTTGAATCAGAAAGCGCTTCCGCGGATCTCGGATCGAGCCCAGGCGAACGGGCCCTTCCCCGAGCATTCGCACGCTGAAGTCAACGAAACCATCTGCAGTTCCAAGAGCCTCCTCCTATTTTTTGGGACCTTAACTAAAAATTGACCGAGGGAAACGGCTTTGGGCAGCTGAGCGTTACCTTCCCCTCAGTTGAAACTAAAGGCAACAAAGCACCCTAGAACTTGCGTGGTTGCTTTCTGCTCCCCTGCAAAAAAGTCTAACTTTTAGTGGTTTAATGTAAAACCCATGAGTTGGATCAAAAAGTTAGAGTCCTAACATCCCTTGGCAAAATGCACCAAAGCTTTGTAGTGAAAGAAGAGTTGTCACTTGACGCTTGGAGCTTCCTCAGCCGTATGAGGCAAAGAGATTCACCGAGTTCTGTGTTCATTTGGTGGCCTTCGCAGTTTGGGGCGCAACTTCGGGAGGCAAAGTTTCTCAACGCAAATGCGGCCCGAACCGAGGACCGAGATAATCATAAAGGATAGCTAAGCACAACGCATCTATGTCTCAAATGGGGATGGGGGCGTCCAAAATGATTGGTCCCCTTTTTGCTTCCCTGAAAACGCAAAGTTCAATCACCTGGGCTGCCCTCAGATCCCCCGCTAGAAGTTTGGCTTTTCGTGGGTCAAATGGAACACCGAGTAACGAAACAGCACCATTTGCCAGGAGAATGCCCGGACCCGCAGAACGAGATGCCGAGATCCATATGGTTCATCCCCCGAATTCTCGTGGCAGTTGCCAAAACTCTAGGGGTTGATTCCCCCATTCTTTTCAACCATCGTTCTTTTCAAAAACCCAGCTGTTTCCCCAGGGTTTTGGGCGCCTTTCTAAAAAAAAAATGGGGAAGGTACCCTTAGAACTACGCAGCCGTCAGATGACCAAAAATCAACCTGTGCCCATTTCCCAGCCGCCACATAGCAGAGGCGCCAAGCTACCCGCCCTGCAAAATGTCATATCGAACTCGGCCACTAGAGGGTGTCTCAGAATAAACTGGTACGATATGGATTTGGACCCCTGGCCGCTAGAGGGTTTTCAATATAGATTCAAACCCTTTTGACTGCAAGCTTGGCTTTCACGTCGCTTCTGCACGCCAAACGCCTGGGCTCATTCCGAGCAGGCCATCGGCCCTGTCACGATCCCGTGTGGCTGCATGCGGAACAAGCTGATTGAAGACCAAACCATCCAAGATGTCAGTGCAAAAGGCGTTTCTTCAAACCCGTAAGGGCGAATGTACACAAACATCTGTCCAAAGAACTTATCTGCGCCTCAGGAAGGAAACAAGATCACAAGGTTGCAAACACCCGGAAGGTGAGGTTAAGAGAAGGATGAGAAGGGACATCTTTGCAATGGAGACGCTCCAAGCAGGGTCCTCCGGGCCCGCCAAGTTGGGAGATATTTCGAAGTTTTTTGTCAAGGGGGTCATGCCAATTTTCGGGAGAGGGGCCGAATGGCTACCCTCGTTGCGGGCTAGCAAAACACTGATCATCGAGTTGATTCTCATCTACTCTTTGCAGCGGCATCTCTTCTGATCCCTGGACGATGAACATATCAAAGCTTTCTCGACCTCGTTCTTTTAAGCCCGCTTAATCAGCAAAGCATTTTGCTCTTTCAGGTCTAAGCACAAAAACGACTAGGAAAGCGCAACAAACAGCATGTGCCGAAAATAGTGCACTACAGTGACCCAGCGTTTCATCAATGGTTGGACTTGGGGGAAAGTGGTCAACTTCTTTGGAGCGCGCCTCTCTTCAGAGTTGTTTCCAAGGGAAGCCGGTGGGTTTCCCGTGCGGAGATTCCCGAAGACCCACCAAATCCAAACACGCGGGGCTGATAGCATGTCTAGCCTAGCCCACCGGGAACCTATGACTCAGCTAGAAAAACCAGTTCTTGACAGGCCGCGGGTAAAAGGCCGCTCGAATTATGGCTCGGCAAATGCCGCCGGCCTAAACGGCCGCGACTTCCGCCTTTTTGCCAGGGTACACAGACGCAGGAACGCCCACCAATGCGTCCATGACCCACCCCGGCTGAGATAGCCTCGCAGCATCACTTCTCTTACTGTCCCACGAGCGGGCACAAAAGTTCACCCCTCGTCCACAACAAACAGGCAATTACTCTAACTGCTGAAACCCCTAAACTGGTGCATGGCTGGCTTACCTCCAGAACCCATGCCTAAAAAATTGAGAACAGTCCTTGAACACATGTCGGCGTGCCTTTGTGCCTCTGTGCTTGCGTGTCTGTGCTTCTCTGTGTGTATGTCTGTGCGTCTGTGTGCCTGTTTGTGTCCTCAACAAGGGGGGGGTCGTTGTTTTCCACTTGCACCGTTGCTGCGAAGCCCCTCTCAGCAGCCCTGCCTGCAGCGCGCAGCGCGCCACGTCGTTTCACAAGGGTGCACAGGCTCACTCCGGGTATGTAGGTTGGCAGCTGGGTAGGCAGGAGGTCGGTAGGTAGGTAGCTAGGTAAGTTGCATGAAGGCAAGCATGTAACAAACAAAAAAAGGTAGGACCTAACTATCCTCAAATAGCTTAAAGGCATGAAGGCATGCAGCAGAAGTCTTTGGTGTGAATCCTTTGTGAGCTTATTCAACAGCCATCTGGTTGGTACTGTAGGTGGGATGGACACTCCCAAACCCAGCATGTCAGCGAACTTTCGGTTTGGATCGGCGGTTTCAAGGTTAGGTGGTCTCCTTTCGTTTGCCTTCAAGCTTGTATGCTCAAATCCGAACAAATCCAACCAATAAGGACTGACCGAATTCGCCCAACCAACCAAAAAACCACCGAATGAAGGAGAACGGCATTTAGGTTGGTCACCTGCTTAAACTCGGTTGCTTTCTGCTCCCCTGCTAAAAGTTTAACTTTTAGTGGTTTAATGGAAAACACATTAGTTGGAAAAAAAGTTAAAGTCCTATCCCAGCAAAATGCACCAAAGTCAATGAGCAACTGTAGCACCCCTGAAGCCCTCCGTGCAGTGCGCGACACTGGGCAAGACTCTAAAGACGTCCGGCGAGGAATGCAACGGACACGGCCAGAAGTGAGCCTTTGGAAAGAATGATGGCCCTCGTAAATGGAATAAACCCCATCTAAACCAGTGCCATGTATTTCGAACCAAGCCAAACTAAAGTCCAAACAAGCAGCAACTAGCCTTGTCACCCGTGATGCATGATCCTCGCCTGTGAAAAAAGCTATTGGTCTGAATTTTGGCAGCCGCTTCAAAGGATTGCATCAAGCTGTGCTTCCTTCCTTTCGGTTGCGTTGACAGCCCGTCGGCGGGCTGCGTCGTGACACAAAATCGCAATCTCCGCGGCTGCCGGATGCAAGTGACTGGCTGCCCTATCTAGCGATCACTCCAGTGGCAAGTGAAAAAGTCCTTGGCTAACGTCAATTCTCAAGCGCCTGGGAGATAAACCCTCTGATTTCCGCCTCTCGTACTGCCGACTTGGTCAAGCTAGCAGCTACCACCTTCATTGAGCAGTGGAAGTCACAAGACCTGAGGGCTCACACACTCCAAGTCTCGCACTTGCCTCTTCCTGGCATTGAATGGACCGCATGCAAAACACATAATATGTGTTCCACCAAGTTGAAAGGTCCGTCCGGTCAAACTTCAAACCCACCAAGATGCACTTCTGAGTCATTGGCACAGGATGCTCCTAAATCAAGTTGTGTTTCTTCATCATGGTGGTTGTGCAGAATGGGGGAAGCCTACGGAATGCTAATGCTAAGCCACCACCGCAACCAGGTAAACCACTAACATCTGGTATAAGGATTGCTGAACAGAACAGGTACTGTGCTTGACTTTGGAAGAACAGTCTCACGATGTTTCAGGCGACAGCTGTCTCTGCATTTCCCACCACATTGCGCGATTCAAGTTGGACAACCATGTGGAAACGGCCGTGAGTCACTCTGTGATCCTTCAGGGGACATGTATTCAGACCCAAGTTGGACACCTCAGCAGCTTCACACATGTTTACAACATAGGCATTGGCGTGGCGCAACATTAGCAAAGACGCGCAATGCGGAGGGGCGCCTTACGGCACAGTCCCATTTGAAGGAGACTGGAAAGATGCCACAGTAGGCAAGTGGAAGCCGTGCACATGTCACACATCGGTAAGAGCACCAATGCATGCAGGGGATTGTCCTAACTTAGATTCAATCAAACTTTGTATGTCGGCAAAACAACAGCCTGTGGTTTTGCATTAGCAAAGTATTGCCACGAACGGCTAAGCTCGTTTCGTTCTTCGAACGCACATGTTGGTATTTCCTGTCATTCGCGTGTTGCAGAGTTTTCAGGGTTGCCACACCCCGTGACCACCTCATTTCGTAGATTCCGCCCAAAACCAAGGCAAATGGACAAGAACAGGGTTCTCCTTGGAGAGGAAGGCCGTAGCCCCGGTTTCGGACACACTATTCATAAGCTTGGGGATCGATGCTTTTTTGCCAGGGCATCTCTTGGCTCACCCCAGCAATCCTTCCGTACCAGGGTTCCACGATACTACCAAAGAAAACATCACCTAGATTTCGCCGTCCCAAAGAGTGCGATGCAAACCAACTAAACGGCCCCTGTCCGCACCTGGATGAGCGAATGTGGAATTCCGCAGGCAGAATCGCAGCTTGCATAGCAACCAATCGGAAACAACCAAGCAACCAAGCAACCAAACGACAAAGCAACCAAGCAACCAGGCAACCAAGCAAACTGCCCCACACACCCACTACCCACTCACACGCTAAGCAAACAAGCAAACAAGAACCAACCAACCAACAAACCAACCTAGCCCCGCCGTGCCCACGCGTTCACGCACCCACCCACACACACACACACACACACACACACCACCCACCCACGCACCAAGCAACCAAGCAACCAAGCAACCAAGCAACCAAGCAACCAAGCAACCAAGCAACCAAGCAACCAAGCAAGCAAGCAAGCAAGCAAGCAACCAACCAACCAACCAACCAACCAACCAACCGACCAGACCGCCCCTAGCCCCGACGCACCCGCCCGCCCGCCCGCCCGCCCGCCCGCCCACCCGCCCACCCACCATTTACCCACCCACCCACCCCACCCACCATTTACCCACCCACCCACCCCACCCACCATTTACCCACCCACCCACCCACCCACCCACCCACCCACCCACCCACCCACCCACCCACCCACCCACCCACCCACCCACCCCACCCACCCACCCACCCACCCACCCACCCACCCACCCACCTCCACTCACCCACCCACACCCTACCCAACCACCCACCCGCCCGCCCGCCCGCCCACCCACCCACCCACCACCCACCCACCACCCACCCACGCGCCAACCAACCAAGCCACCAAGCCACCAAGCACCCAAGCCAAGCGCAAGCCAAGGCTCAGTCGCCGGTCACCTGGGCGAGTTGGCGTACGTGCCCCCGTCAAACCTGCGTGTTTCACCAGCAGAGCCCCAAAATACATCCAAGACATATACCGAGCAAAAAGCAAGAAACACACAACTAAACATAAACACAGACCAACCAAATAAGCAACTACGTATATACACATATACAGTCACCAAGCAAGAACAATGAGCGGGACTCGCAAAAGCAAACCCCAGAGCAACCCGAACGTATTCCTTCGGAATGTTCTTGTTGGATCGATCGCATGAATCAAGATGAGTGAAGCTACTGCGCCCTTTTGCCGTGGATGACGGGCTATGGGGAGGGGGGCTATCCCTTATTAACCCCTTAAAAGGCCATATTTAGGACTTGTCCTTGGCTTCCTAGGCTTATCTATTCATAGCCCCCCTCACCGCAGAAAAAAATACAGTTGGTCCGCCCCTTGATGACGTGTTGACTCGTTGAGGGGGAAAAAGGGCACAAAACCGGCCCGGTGGTGCCTTCAAAGCGAGTCTGCGAGGGCATGCTGTTTCGGGCGGCTTTGAAAGGAAACCAACTGGAATACCCACCATTTTGGGTTAGGTGGCCACATGGGCTTGCAAGGTCCTCGATGGGATCATCAAGCACGGTCACGGGAGGGCCTTTTACAGCGTAGATTGCTCGACATGTTGGGTCGCTCAACATTTAGTGCGTTGTTGCCCTTTGGTTTCTCCTTCGCGTGCACCATTAAACACATATATGCATAACGAGCAAGTATATATATATAAATACACATATAGAAACACCAAACTAAATTGTGGCTTTCTCTCCCAAGCAAAACTCAAGGCGGCCATGGTTCCCTTCCAAAAGGCAACTCAACTCATGGGCCTTGGCGTGGGTGCTCCCAGTTCCCAAGCTCGGCATATCCCGACCCGAGCAAAATAGATGACGAGAGGATCCGAGGGACGTATCCCGTATTCCTCAAGGGGCCTTCTTGTGGGTTCCAAGGATGAGAAGGTAGGGGTTTGGCGCTAGAAACATGCAACGTCACCAGCCTCAAAGATTAGTGACGGGAACCAGCAAGCTTGGGCAAACATGGGGCTGCCAAGGCTCAGTTGCCCAAAGGACCCAGGAAAACATGTCAACCTTTGGAGCCATGACCAAAAGATGAATCAACATGGGGAAAACCAAAGGTCAAAAGATCGGCGTTGGACAACTGCACAAGTGAGAAGAGCAGCCTTTTGGAGAAGCAACATGGACTTGTGTGTATACCGTTTTTGTTTGGGGGGGGGGGGGGGTTGTTTACCTTCAAAACCCAACCAAAAGGGAGGGTCCCCGAGAAAAAGCAAAGCGAGCCAACGAGAAAGGGACGGCCCTCGCCGAGTTGCAGCTCCTCATCCTCCGACTCGGAGCCATCCAAGTCCCACAGCAAGCCGCCTGAAAAAAAAAACAATGACGACCCATTTCGGTTCCTTCCGCTCATTCGTAGAGCAACCCTTTGGGACAAACGACTTTTTATTTTTGCGCGCAAGGACCTACCGCAAAAGGTCCCAGCAGCCCGGCCGAAGGATCCCAGCTTTCGCCACAAAGGAGTTAATAGGTTTCGTGTTGGGACAAACGAATAATAGCCCAAACTTGGAAGCCCAACGGGTTGACAGTTGGTTTGGCGCGTGCTTCTTTCTTTCAATGCATGTGAATCAGCCTGAATTGACGTGTGCATGCATGCTTGCGTCATCCAGCCGGGTTTGGCAGTTGACCTGTCGACGCGGTAGCAACCATTGAAAGGGGTCCGTCCGAAATTCCGAAACAAACATTTCGGGGTCAACAGGCAAACCCCATAATAACGTTGGAACCAAATGGACCTTCCCCAGAAAAAGGGATGTCCCCATTGATCCACTGAAGCCTTTGAAGAAAGCATGTCCTGTCGGACTCACTTCCTGAGTGGATTGGCAAAAAAAACACGTTATATTTGCCATTGACCCCCAAAAAAATCGAACGTCCGAAAGGGACTTCAGAAAGTGAGCGGACGGCCTTGCCGAAGCATCTGAAACAAAGGGTTTCGGGCTCGCCTTTTGGGGACGAATTTTGAGAGAGCCAACGAAAGGTTGATTCCTTTTGGAAGGTTTCACATTTTTCGGAGGGGCCACCCTACAAATGAACATGGAACCCAAAGAACCAGTGAACTAGGGGAACCGTTTGGGAATCGGACCCCCTTTTTGGGGTTCCTTCAGTTAATTTGCATGGGAGCAGCTTCCCTCTAGTTGGTTTGGATTGGTGGGAGGTATTCCGGCTTCCCTCCAGCCCATTTACCCCAGAGGCTTCCAACCACCGGGCTCACGAGGGAGCTACCTGAATCAGGGCTCCCCTAAAAATGTCCCCTCAAAACATCACCCGCACCAAGGGAAACTGACGTTAAATGGGCAAGGTGATGCTTGAAATGAATCCCCCCCAAAGAAAAGTCAAAAAAAGAACGGACCCCTTTAAAACCACCCAAAGGAGCAAACAAACAAATATCTCGGGACTGTGACTAAAACCACCAAAAGGAGCAAAACTATCTCGGGACTGTGACTTGACTACTCCAGGCGACCGAGGCGTAAAGGCGACCGACCAACTTCCTACCTGAGGGGTCGCCGCCAGCTTCCGGATGCCCGGGGCCCCAGTACAGCCTCACGCGACCAAACGAGGGCACGACCAAAAGATCACCGTGACCCCTCGGCTTTTGGTGCTTTGGATGCGGGGATTTTCGGACCTTTTGGTTTCAACAAGGTCAAAAACCCAAACCAATCCAAGCTCCCAGCACAGGGTTACCTGAACCAAAAACGCTGGCGTGGGGGGAAAAACAAATGGGCTCCGAAGTAACCAAAGGCAGGTACACCCAACCGCGAAAGTCCTTGCATTTTTCGTGTTTTGCTCGAACGTCCGCAGCCTGCCAGTAAAAACAACGCCACGGATAGTCCCGGCAGGGTCCTTGCAACTGAGCCTTCCCCACTGGCACACGGCGCCCAAGTGTCTCCTAAAACTGATTTGTTTGAGTACCACTACGGACGCAATCCCCATGGCACATCGCATATTACAAAGCACTTAAACGCATTTTAAGCATACACGTTTAAGTACGAGTAAGAAGGCAATCCCCATGGCACATCGCATACCAGTTGGGACCAAGATGTTGCTTGACTATGTGTGTTTGCACGCCAAAAAGAAGGCAATCCCCATGGCACATCGCATGCTCAACAACACCGAAACAATTTTTGCAAAAACAAGTTCTTGCGCTAGTATGAAGGCAATCCCCATGGCACATGCATACCCAAAGGCAACCAAATGCATCTTGAAAACATCTATTCGAAGCACAGAAGTGAAGGCAACCCCCATGGCACATTGCATAATCAACCGCAATGTGTCTCCTAAGACTGTTTTGTCTGAGCGCCACTACGGACGCGATCCCCATGGCACATCGCATATTACAAGCCGCTTAATCGCATTTTAAGCATACATGTTTAAGTATGAGTAAGAAGGCAACCAGCATGGCACATCACATACTAGTTGGGACTGAAATGTTGCTTGACTATGTATGCTTGCTCGCCAAAAAGAAGGCAATCCCCATGGCGCATCGCATGCTCAACAACATCGAAACAAGTCTTGCAAAAACAAGTTCGTGTGCTAGTACGAAGGCAATCCCCATGGCACAAGCATACCCAAAAGCAACCAAACACATCTTGAACACATTTCTCGAAGCGCCAAATACAAGCAACCCCCATGGCACATCGCAGAACCAACCGCAACCGAGCAGTGTTTAAACATATATATATATGTAGTAGTAGTAGTAGTAGTAGTAGTAGTAGTAGTAGTAGTAGTAGTAGTAGTAGTAGTAGTAGTAGTAGTAGTAGTAGTAGTAGTAGCACAGCAGCAGCAGCAGCAGCAGGAGTAGTAGTAGTAGTAATAGTAGTAGTAGTAGCAGCAGCAGCAGCAGGAGTAGTAGTAGTAGTAGTAGTAGCAGTAGCAGTAGCAGTAGTAGCAGTAGTAGTAGTAGTGTAGTAGTAGTAGTAGTAGTAGTAGTAGTAGTAGTAGTAGTAGCAGAAGCAGTAGTAGTAGTAGTAGTAGTAGTAGCAGTAGTAGTAGTAGTAGTCGTGGTGGTAGTAGTAGTAGTAGCAGCAGTAGTAGGAGGTGCCTTGTGTTAAGTTTTTGGCAAGTTTACCCAGGAAAAAAACGAGTCCAAAAACGAGTCTAAAACGAGTCCGAAAAGAAAGAAAACGTGCAGCCGCAACCCACCTAGGCCTCAGCCTGAAAAGCAGGCCGTTGAAACCAATTGATGTGTTAAGCAGACTGTCGGCCTTAGCCTAACACGTATTACAAGCACTTGTTGAGGATGACTGCGTGTGCCAATGCGATTCATGTGTTAGTTGACTGAACCTTCTCATTATCTTGGCCAGAGGCAGTGTGCCATTGCGTTTTGTGATGGGAGTGGGCCTCAACATTCAACAGCGCACCTTCGCCAAACACTCCTCAAAGTATCCGCCTCCCCATGGCACACCAGACACTTGGCTTTGTGTACAGTGGGGGGCTGGGGTAGCACTTGCGTCGCCAGCAACATCTAAGCCTGCAACTTCTATCACCTCGAATCCTACTGGCACACAGCTGAACAACACAAGGAACCAGACTCCCATGTGTTAGTTGACTGAATCTTCTCATTATCTTGGCCGGAGGCAGTGTGCCATTGCGTTTTGTGACGGGAGTGGGCCTCAACGTGCAACAGCGCCCCTTCACCAAACACTCCTCAAAGTATCCGGTCCCCCATGGCACACCAGACACTTGGCTTTGTGTACGGTGGGGGGCTGGGGTAGCACTTGCATCGTCAGCAACATCTAAGTGAAACGAGTGTACCCATGCGATTTGATTCAAAATGGCTTCATGCCACACATCATAAAAGACAGCATGATCATGACCCTAAATAGCTTTCCCCACTGGCACACTGCTTGCGGCGCGAGATCATGGCTTGCGGGGCGTGTAACCACAAGGACCCAGTAAGTGTTTTTTCAGGCGTGTGCCAATGCGATTGGCCACCCAAAATGCCTCAACATCACCAACACAAACCGCGATCGAGGGAAGGTGTTTTCCATGTGTGCCAGTGCGTTCGGCCTACCCAAAAGACCTCAACTTGATCAATGAAACCATCTCAGGGGACCACGTTCAGCATGTATTTCTCTACAAAAATGACCTCAATATCACGCAGCAATTGTCTCTTGAAAACATGCTAAACCAAACGCCACTGGCACACGGAGTTGCAACGACCCTACCGGATGCGCTTCGTGTGCGTATTACACGAAAAACATGCTGCCAAAACCAAACGCAACGACTTTCACAGGTGAGAGTAGACTTCCAAAACTCTTCGATCGTCAGCTGGCAGGATTGGGGGGAGTGCATTGATATGTCTTGGGAGAACTGCTCTTGATCAATATATAGGGCTTCCGATTTGGTTGACTTACAAAGAAGGCCCAAAGGAAAACGACCCTTGGGTCCTGTTCCTTCACAAGTCCGACAGACCCATATCAAGCTTGTTTGGGGGGGGGGGGTGCGCTGTCCCCCGGACAGGACCCCAGGAGTTCAAGGGAACCCTGTCGCTCCAGTTCCATGGGGCCCGGCAAGGTGGGGCTCGAAGCCAAAGCTTTGGCTCCTTCCTTCGGTTTCGTGAGGGGAACCTGTGTTTGATCGCAAGGGGAGACCTGGAAGACTTCAATCTCTACTCTTGGTATGGGCTGGCCAAAAACTGACGGTTTTTTGCAGAGCCCCAGTAAAAATGAACAGAACCATTTTTTATATTTTAAAAACAAAAAACTGTCAAGAACAGTGAAGCAATTATTGGGACCCCTATCTTAAGATAAACCCATTGGGTGACCAGGCAAACCCCTGTTGAACGGGAACATTTCAATGTTTGTTGCTAGGAGGGTATCCGAAGCAGGCCTGCCTTCAAACCAACAGGGGATGATGATGATGATGATGATGATGATGATGATGATGATGATGATGATGATGATGGTGGTGGTGGTGGTGGTGGTGATGATGATGGATCTTTCGACCACCCGCCATGAACATGACCATGCAGTGAAGGGCCTGCCAACCGTATACACATGTAATTTGGCCACACCTATTCACAAATGTCCTTTGCGCCATGGCGCTTGCTGAGCCCTTCCTGAGAGGTCTTGCATCCAAGTAGCGCGTCGGAATGCTGAATGTCCGAGTTGGGCCCCCAATAGTGCCTGCGCGCAGTGGCCATGCATCAGGGCCACAAGACCAACATGGCCTTGGTTCTCTCAATGGAACTGGAGGGGCCTTGGTTCCTTGTGGGTGGCCTTGCAACTGGGAGATGGGGAATCCGCCGGTTCAGACTACTCCCCAGAATACGAGTTCAACTTGTTCTTGGTTTCGGCCCATCGAGCCCGAAATATGGACACACACACACACATGCTTTGAAGTCCCTTCAAAGCAACCCGAAAATCGAACCCCCCCCTATTCTGCTGGGTGTTGCATAGAAGGGTCTAAGAAGTTAAAAACATCCATCCCCGGAGGGGGCTTCCTTTTGGGAAAATAAAACAGGACATCCGATTTAGCCCGTATTCAGACCCCACATGTGTCCAACACTGCAGGCAATTGAGACCAACGTTTGTCCAATTCAGAGCAAACCAAGCACAAATACTGAATGCCATTTCTAACTCAGCCCTTGCCTCCAACCCACAACTATGTTTGATTCTGGGTCATATCATGTCAAATGTTGGACACAAACTTTGGAAACAACTAAGAGCAGCACAACTGAATGACATGTCTAGCACAGCCTTGCCTCCAATCTGGGGTCTGAGTCATATCTAGTGGACCTTGAACTCAGGTTGCTTTGACATCCCCCCTACCAAAAGGGGGAGGGGGGTGGTGGGGTGCCCCAATTCCATTTCCTTACTCTTCCCCACAAAAGGGAAAATGGCACCATGGAATTCCAGGGGTCACCCCCCTCTCCCAATTCCATTTTGAAGGGGGTGGGGTTGCTCCGACCGCTAAAATCCTACCCAACATTCTCCGAGGCCACCACTCATCGGAGTGCGCTACATCGGAGTTCACGTTCCAGGCGTCCGCCTGCAGCACGATCTTGGGCCTCACGCAGTAGGCCTCGCAGTAGGCCGCAGCTTCCGTGAGCGAATCAACGCGAAACCCGGGGGGAAAAAAAGAAAAAAAAGAAAAAGGCAACCAGATTCCAAGTGCGATGTTTTGTTTCGCAAATTTGGAGAGAAGTACTCTGACTCTCATTTTGGCAAATTCAGATGGAACCATGAAAGAAAGATGCGATTGGTTGAACCCCTTGCTTGGACATTTGCAGGGGGGTTGCCAGTCATGATCATTTCCCATTAGACTGCCGGGAATCATTGAAACATACACCAGATGCCTATGAATGCCTGGTGAGTTCCCAAGGCATTAGCATCCCCTGGTCCAAGAGGCCCGAAGCAGGGGTTCCTCTACTTTGAATCATCACCTAAAGCAAGCTCGCAGAAGCGCTGCCAAAGGTTATGTTTGAAACCTGGCGAACGGGAAACCTCCGAACCCAAAAGGCGCCAGGGGACAGAGCGCGAAAGGGGGAAGAACCCCATTCCGAGTTGGCAAGCTTGAGCCCAATAACTCCCAAGCATCACCCCACCCTGAGCCAGGGACTACACAAAGATGTGAAAGAAACAAGCCAAAAGGGAAATCTACGGGAATGCCGTGGCTTCCCATCCCACAAATCTTCCCCCATGTCACTTGCATCATTTATGGCGGTCATTTCTTTTGGTACCAAACAAAAGCAACGGGTACCTAAAAGCATACGGTAAACAATGAAAATACAACTAGTTACGCGTTTGCGGTGGCCAGCTTTGCCTTTCTGATGGCTTTTCCCAAAACAAGGCCCCTGGCAGGGAAGGGCATCTTCTCCTTACTTGTTGTATGAGACATGTCAGCAAACCAATGTGTCCTTTGCAGCCTCCCCTAAGAATCAATAGAGCCAACAAATGGCCATGGGTCAAAATCCCGTACCCCCTGTGAACATCCCAATCCCCACTAAAATAAAGCCTGAAATGGGTGGTGAATTCACCTACCAACCAAAATGGGATCCACCAAAACGGTTTTGACAACCACAGCCAAATGGCAAAACCATGCCAGAGTGCAGATTCCCCATGTCCGGTCGGCAGATCCGATTGGTACAGATTCTATACGAGTCATGTTCCCCCCTTGGGCTTCGCAACCATATTTTTGGAACAGCATCCAATTCCGTGCTGCACGCCACTAGGGAAACAAAATCTGGGAACCTTGAGCTCGAGAATGAATTCCTTGAACGTGCTTGGGGAACCGACCCTTGGATGTTGGCAACCAAACTCCATGTTCAGGCATCATTCACCAGGCCAACACTAAGCAAAATTCCCAAATCTGCCAAAACAAAACCTATCCAAGCTAGCCATAAAAAGTTTGAACCACCCCAGTGGGAGACATCCGCCTCTCCAAATGAACCCGAGTTCGCCACCTTGTGACTGAAAGCCTTCAACCGCCTCTTCACTGGGCTGCACCCGTTTTCGGATCCGCCCAAAGTTTAGCTTGGTGGGTTAAATGGAAACCGCTAGACACCACAAAGCTGAAAGGCCAATCGAACCGGATGGCTCTGAGCCACCGCCACCGAGTCCGAAAAAAAACATGTGCGGCTCGGATCGCCTTGAGGCCCTCCTCCGCGCACAGACCCTGAGACGTGGATGGACGTTCACCCACCAGCCCCCCCCAAAAAAACTCGCCTCCCCACCGAGCTAACCGAGCTAACATGGGTTTGTGCAGAGACCCCTGAAAAAAGATGACTTTCCTCTTGGAAAGTTGAAAGGGCCTTCTTGCACTTCCCATGTTAGTTGGTGGGAGGGTAAGTTGCTCCCTAGAGACCTGGACAAAGCATGGGTCACCTGTTGCGGCCTTGTGGGGGGCCTTGACTCAGCATGGTTGCCACAGGACTCGCTTGAGGCAAGGGAGATCAAGTAAGCCAAAACAACTGATGGGCCGTTAACTTCTAGGGGCACCAGGGTATCAAGGTAAAGCAAGTTGAACAGGCTTGCTCCAATCAAACCTGGGACAAGGGTTGAACATGCGTTTGATAAAAGGAGACCAAAGGAAACAAACGCAGCATCCTACCCTTCGGGGGGGGGGGGGGGTCACCTGTAAGAGGGGCGGATCAACCCTGCCAAAAGAACCTCCAAATAAAAGGGCTGCCGGATTCATCAGGACAAATCCTATGAACCCAGGATAACTTGTTGGAAACGCACAGCTGGCAGACTAGTGTGGGACCTTCATGGGAAGGATTGTTCCGCCAGGTGAGCTCGGTATAACTTGCCCCCAAGACCCCATACTGATCCACCAAGTTTATGACCCCGATGGAAGCAGCACCCTACCTAACCATCCCAAATCCTCCACGCATTTGGGCAGCGGTCCCCCCCCCCCCCCGGTAGCCTCACGCGATTTTGTTGTGAATGCATACGCAACATGGGACGTGTCACAATTTCGCCCTTGTCAGGAAACACCAATCCTCTAAAATTACACACACTCATGGGTTTCCACGGGAAAAGGTGCAACCCTTATGTGGACAGCGTATTCTAAAGGGACCCCAAACAATCAAGCAAGGCATCGCTGCACGTCTGTGGTATGTTGCTTTGCTGTTGGCTCTCTTAAACAAATCCCATGGTTGTCGTGCGCGGAAACGCCCAAACTCACCCAGCACTGAGGATCCCACTACTTGAAGGGGGGATTCCCAATTCCGCTTTGTCTCAAAGCGTTGCCTCCACAAAATGGAACATTCAACTTCCCCTTCGTGGTTTGGATTGGTGGTTTGGAGCTTCGGGGTGGTTTCCAATTCACCCTCAACAAGAACCAGGGTTCAAATCTCCGAACCACTCGTTCCCAAAAATGGCAGGGTCCAAAAACTCCGGACACGTCAAAGTTGAATGGTTTCGGCGGCTTGTGCTGGACACACAGCGGAATCAACACAGAAAAACAACACCCAGCACCAAAACTGCGGAATCCGCAAACTTACCCTCCAAATAGTGGTTCAAAGGCCAACCCAAAACTCATTTTCAGAAGCCCCACAGCCATGATCCAGGCGTCATTCCCGTTTGCTTTTTTCTCCGAAACTCCGCGTGGGCGGGGGTGCGCGCGAAAAAAACCACAAAGGGCGCCGGCCGAGGCGCCGCCATCCAGTTGTCCACCGGCTCATTCACCGGCAGCTGCGCGAGCATGTGTCGCGCTCCTGCGGGCCACACCTCGGCTTGGGTCGGGACCAGGGCGCAGCCGAAGCCTAAGAAGACTTGAGGGTACTTGCTTTGTGGGCTGTGCGGAGAAAAACCAAAGGGACACGGATCCACTAGATGGCCTGTTTGTTGGAAGACAAACCTATTTCCAAGAATGGATTGAGGCTCCCATCTGAAGCCAACTGGATACTTGAATGAGGTCCCCCTGTTTACTTGGGATGGTGCTTCCATATTTTCCGCAGAAAACCACGCAAAGTGTATAAGAAGGGGGCTGTGGGTCACTCTGATTGTGCATTGACGAGGGGATGTGACCCCCTGCTCAAAGGGGGCTTGTCTTCCTGGAGGCGCTAACTCATGGCGAAAAAGCGTTCAAGCCCACTGAATTGAAAGTTGACCCCACTTCCTTCCCAAAAAGGTGGATTCAGGAACTTGGGAAGTCGGATCAAAAAGCTTGGCCTGTGGTACCTTAACAGGTGGTGTTGCCAAAATGGGCAAGCCCCTCGTTCAATTCCTCAATGGTGGCACGGACCCTGTCCCAGCTGTCGGTGAGAGTTTTCTGAGAAACCCCAGATTGCTGGTTGAATGCCAAGTCAAGAAGCATTTGAGAAAAAAAAAGGAAAAAAAACAAGGCCCCTCTCAGGCCCCTCTTTACAAGGCATCTTCCTATTTACAAGGCCCCTCTCAGGCTTCGGCAATGTAGGCCACAGTCCTTAGAAGCACACAGCTTCACGCCAAGGAACCGTCACTTCGCCAGAGTTAGACCATCCCGAAACCTCCAAGAGAGCTGCGCCTCCCCCGAAGCCACTATGGAAACATATGCACTTTGCCAGTCAGAATGCATATGCCCAACTTTCGCTTGGAGGTGGTCGTTTAAGGCTAGCACATGCAACCCTACGGCCTGGGCAATTTTTTCGGCCTGCAGGTAAACCCCAAACAGGGAGCTACAGTCAGCCCCGAGGGTCCTCAGGCTCCTGACTTCAGATGCGTGTGAAAGATGGATGCCTAGGAAACTTACCTGCAAATTCCCCTGGCATAGCAGAACTCAATGCTTGGACTGACTGTTTGCGCAGTAAGGGGAAGCTTCCTCCAAAAGTGCAGCCTGGCCAATCCCGAGTCAAGATTGGGCGTTTGCCCCCAACATTTTGACTCACTGGCCAAGGTGAATACTACTCTTGGTATGGTAGCAAAAAACTGACTGTTTTTGCAGAGCCCCAAAAAAAATGAACAGAAAAAAACAAACAAAAAACTAAAAAACCAAACAACAGTGAAGAATCTGTTCAGGAAAGCGAAGACTAACAGCCCGCACCTGGTTGCGCAATCTTGGCGCCCGCAAATGGACGAATGATACTGAAGCTGGCGCTCAAGGCTTTCCCAACCCCCCGTATGGCCAAGACTCGCTACTGGCTCAGACTCAAAATCAACCGGGCAATAGTTTATGCAAAATACAAACTGCAAAGCAACACAACACAACGCAAGCACTGCAAGAACGGCAGAGCTTTGCTGAGAAGCTAGCCGTTGAGCCCACTGCCCCCCATGCCCCCCCCCCCCGGATTTCACAAAGCCTCGGCCTGTCTGCGGGAAAAAAGCCACTGGAAGCAACGCAAACCCCCAGCAACCCTTTGAGGTCAGCCAGCTGGTTCCTCTGAACGAATCCCGATATCTGATAATTGACGTCATGCCCCCTGCTCAGCTAGGTCTTAGGCTCTCCAACAAATGATCTTACACTTGTGTAATGACAATTCAACAAGAATTCCTAGATCGTCATTACATTTGCAAGTTGCAACGGGAAAGCAAGACACATAATATATATATACACGACAAGAACCTAAGTATCAAAGATGCCAAATTTCGCGCTCCAACTTCAGGACCATAGCAACTCTTCGCGCAAATGCGAAACCTACACCCATATAGAAGAGACTCTCTTGGGGGGGCTCGTGTCACCCTGGGCTGTTCAAAATTGGAGGGTTGGCCAATCATAATCCCTTCAGGGAAGCCACTGCAAAGGGGACGCCTTGCGTAACCCAAGGTAAGGATTAAGGATTACATTTGAACAGCCCAGCCAGCAGACCCAGCAGACCCTTCAGGGGGCAAACGTTTCGCGTTAACGCCGGGTCTCGTCCACACGTACAAGGACTCCACCAAATGCGGGCTGATCTGCCTGCGCCAATCGGCGGCCTCGGATTTTTTGCGAAAGACTTGGCCCCAGGCCAGCGGTTGCCGGGCACTTGTGGCTTGCTTCGGAGAGAAATGAGAAACAACAGCAAAGGCCCAAAAGGAGTGTATATATATATATAATATACATATACACATACATACACGTATTTAGACGCATACGCACACACACACATATGCATATATATATATATATACATATGCTACCCCCATGGATCTCCTCTGTATGTTCGAGCTGGCCGTATATGTATTTATTTATAGATATATATATATATATATACACTTTCTAAGTCTATGTGTGTAAAAAACCGGCCAGCCCCATGTCACAGCTCCCCTGAGCCCCAAGATGGACCCTTGGGCCCCTGACTTGCGAGTAGCCCAGGTACAGGAGCTGCGCGTCTGCCTGAGCCATCGCTTCCTTCGGGGCCCTCACCTTGAACCCGACAAGAGGTGTAGGATTCTCCAACAAAATTGGGGTTGGGGGGGTGCAACCCAGGTGGGTACACCCGAGGTGCAGGCCATTCACCCGTTTTTGCTAGTGGTCCTAAAAGCCCGGTTCCGTCCTTTCGGGGAGACCTGCGGAACGTGTAGAACGCCTCTTGAGTGCGTCATGTTGTTGCTAGCCACAACTCGGTGACCCTAGAGGGAAGCCCACCCAACCACAAGGGAAAGGAGTGTTGTTCTGCCTGGGCCAAAACACATTCACAGAGCCAACGTTTCGCGGATTGATTTCGGAGTCCGCTGATGCTCGGGTGCGAGACTTGAACCGGGGTCAAGCTTGAAGCTGGTGCTCGCCGGGTTTTTCGGAAGTCAGCGCGGAGCACCACACCATTGGTCTCCGAAAGGTTGTCTCAAACGCAGGCAACCCTGAACACGGTTGGCATGTCTCAAACGGAGGCCCTCCCCTTAGCAAAACACCCCCCCCATATACTTTGAGCAAACCCCAATCTGAGCTGGGCTTAAGCCTCCGGGCCTCAACAACATGTTTAAACCCACCATTCGGGCAAATTAAGTTGGGCGATCCATCCAAAAGGGGTCCCCGGCACTAACGGACTGCCAGGGGCCCGCAAATTCTCTAAAGATAGTTGATGTGCCATCATTTGTTCTAGGGGAATCTTCACTTTTCTACTGGAGCACCCCCTCTTAATAAACTGGGGTCGAATGATGTGGGGTCCACATTAAACCATCGATGTCCAAACAAACAACCTGGCCTGCAATTCCACTTGTCAATCGGTGGCAAGCATGACTCAGTTGACTCATGCTTAGGCCACCATCACAGACCCGCGACCACGGGAAAAAGGGCACCCTTGTGTTGGGTTGTATTAAGCCGAACCAGTCCGGAGCTCTGCCGCCAGGTTGGCTCAGCAACCCACCGAAAAAATACGCAAACCGGGGCTCCGCACTGGCAGGGCGCCAAGAGCGCTGTCCAGGACTTCACAAAACCTCGGCGAAATGCGAAGCCGCTTGGGCTCCAAGTGGCTTGTCGGCTTCCGATCTGGAGTGGATTTGAGTTGAAGCAAGGAGCCTTGAATTTGTGGAGCTTCCAATATATTCCCAAGACAACGGGGTTCAAACCCCACCAATCTGAATCACCAATGGGATTTCCAATATGTGTTCATAAGAAAAAGGGTTGGGTTGGGTTTGGAGGTTTGGTTTGGATTGTCTTTCACAAGGCAAAGGCGTCCAAAGAGCTACCTGAAAACAGGTGCGCACTTGCAGGGCGCTGAGCCTACATCCCAAGCCGCCCTTTCTGCGAGACCATTCCAACGCAGCTTCAAATAACGCTCCAGTTTTTGCCCGGAATCCAATGCATTGGCATCCTTGGAGGTTAAACCTCAGGATTGTGCCTGTATTAGGTATGCTTGTCTGTTTCATTGATGCATGAATAAGCATGCTTGTTTCAATGAAGCAAGACCTTAGACAAGGCTCAAACAACCCTTCTTCGGAGTGAGCCAACAGCTCCCACCGAAATTGCCCTTCGAAAAAGCCCCAACAGAACGACACGTGGCAACCTGACATCAGACCTAGGGCCAGGTGAAAAGTTGACGGGAGGTTTTTGAAGGTTTGACTTTCCGCACCGCATGGAAGTGCCAAGGTGGGTGACGTGAAGAGATGCATATATGGGCGTTCGGGTCACTGAGGGTGTGAAAGATGACAAGCAACTTGCTATGGATGCCTAATCCGGTATCTGCCAGGTTTATACACCTTTGGGGGTGTCACCCTGGTCCATTCTGGTGATGAACATTCTGCCTTGCCTTTGTTCGAAACCAATGCAACAATAGGCAAAACTCAGGCTAAGGACACCTCCAACAGCATGCTGTGTGTTTGTGTCTGTGTCTGTAATTGCTCTCTGGGTGCGTCTGTGTTTGCGCTTGAGTGCGCTGGACATGGTGAAATCGATTCCCTTTACCAGGGGAAAATGGAACATTTCTTTTCAGCAAATGACAGATGAATGAATCAGGTCACTGGATTCCCAAGATTATGCCATGCCAATCTGGAGGCCGGGGTCGCACAGGTGAAGGACCCACCTAACTTCCGATGAAATTGGAGTTCTTGGGGATAGCCAAGGGGTGACTGGCCTGGTCCCAAAGCCTTCTGTTAGGTCCCTTTGCCCCCAAAACTCCGAGAGTTACAGTGCTCGCCTTTCAGCGTGACTCAGGCTACCGGCGGGTCAAGCTTCCCGCGTTGCTTGAATACCTCTTGGTTGACGTTGGAAGGGGAGCAAAACTTTAAATGTTAGCAGTTAAGTGGGGATTTCCCACTAAACCACCAGAAGCAAACATGTAAAATGTTTCCCAACAACAATGAAGACCCCTCCCTTAAAACCATCCCTCGACCGTCTCGCCGAAGCACTCCGCGGTGGGGGCCGCGTCATCTTCCAGCACCAGCAAAGGCCGGTCGCTGCCCGCGGCCTGCCTGGGGGGGGGGGGGGGGCGGCACCAACTTGAGACCTTTGAACTAAAAAGGTTCTCAAGTCAGGAATAGGTAAAATGCGGGTAAAATGGAATCCCCAAAAAGGCTCTCAACAAGGGTGTGGGTCAAGAATGGGTAAACTGCGGGTAAAATGGAACTGGTAAATGGACATAAGAATGAACACCTGCAATCTCCTAGTGGCTTAACTTTGGCCCATGCCCAAATGGCTGTTGCGGGTGCTTCCCCGTTCAATCAGTTGGGATCGTACTTCCAAGGATGTCACTTTGACGGATGTGATTCCATTTCCCTGTGTAGTAGGCAACCGAGGGGAGCATGCTTGAACAGTTTTAAAAAAAACAAAGTTACCCTAAGGGTCGCGGAGCTTGGTATGCAGAATCCGGGAGTGCCCAAACCGGACTCCGAGTTTCCGTCGGTGTGTTAAAAAAAAGGCATACTTTGAGGTCCGAATTTCCATCAAGACCCTTAGGGTAACTGGGATCCTCCGGGCAAGAAATGGGCTCCAAGGAAAATCTCTCACTGACTTCCCCAAACCAGAATACTCCGTTGCTTTCTGCTATGGCAAAACCCAGTAGTTGGCAAAAAGCCAAAGTCGCAGGGATCCTTACACCGTAGACCTGAACATTGCCTTGTACATGGTGGTTTCCCTTTATTTTGGTGGGTTAAAAGCTATGTTTCAAATGGTTTCTTTTAAGGAGCCCTGCGTAACATCCCTTGGCAAAATGCACCAAACGAGAAGTTGATCCAACTGCTGCCGACCCTCCCCTGCGAACTGCTAGCCTCATGATTTTGCCATGATCCAAGTCACCCCCGGAGTGGTGGATTGCAGGAATCAACCCCATTTTCTGACGTTGATAACCCCCAGAAACCGTCAAAGTAATGACGGTGAAGAAATGGGAACGCATCTCCTGCAACGAGGTCTCACGTGCACGTTTCAAGGACAGGTCATGATGTAACCATTCCTCACCTCGAATCTTGACCGTGCAGGGGTTCTTCAGACAATACCATTCCGTGCCAGTCATAGCAATGAGGCTGATGAAGCTCTTCTGACCCTGATCTCGCTCAGCAGCTCAGTGTTCTCGCCCTCCCGCTGACCCGCTGACGATCAAGTTGCGTAGAAACAATATAGAAATGCGGCGGTCGCTTCTACCAAGGTGGTTGTAGAGGTTTTTATGCTATAGCCGTAGTCAGCATGAGCTGGTTCTCAGATGAGTTGGAATGACCCCAAGAGAAACCATCCATCCTATGGTTTCTTTTCGAAAATGCCCCAAAATCGGATCATTCAACACCCGGATTCGTTGTCATTCCCCACCCACCCTCCCTTCCTGAGTGGGTGGCCCAAAAAAAACAACCACCTTGCCATTTACACCTATGAAAAAGGTCCAAATCCCAAAAGTCGCCCAAAGTCCCGGAAAAACTCGGGAAGGCGAAAATAACTCGCAGCAGCCCTCTGGCTTTCGTCTGGCTTTCGCCTTCGCCTGAGGGCCCGGCTGTAGGCAGTGCTGCCAGGCGCGGATGTGGGAGGAGGCGCAGCCCCGCTCCCCGGCGCTCAGCTCCAGCTGCCGCACCTCGCGGCGTCTCGGTTTGCGTGTTTCGGGGGAGGTGGGGGTAGCCTCCCACACGGGGGAGGGGGGTAGAGGGGGAGGGTGGGCCAGGGGAGGACGGGGGGGTAGCCTCCCAACAACTAACATGGAACATGGAACATGGAACCTGACCAAACCAGCAATCCTTAAACCACCAATTATGACCTGGCCTTTTGAAAGGTCCTGGTTTGAACCATGTTCCTTTTAAAGGGACTGGGTCCCGAGACTCACTTGGAACCAAAGGAGCTGGATGTTTGTTTAAGGTCACCTCAGTGAGTCAGGCGAGTGGGAGGGGAAGGACAAACAAAAGAAATCCCCAGCCCAGTTCGGACCCCGAAATATAGGGCTAGGTCCTCCAGTAGAGAGGTTAGAATAAGGGTACCGTTCTTTTCCTTCTTCTTTTTGTTCTGTAGTCTATTTTAGCAGGGATGCTCCCCCAAAAAAGGGGTAAAAGGGCACTCGGGGGCCTAGAGGGTGATCACCTGTTGGGGCCGCTAAAAATGAACAAGCTCCAAAGAATCTTACGTGTCTTTGATAAAGCGGACCAGACCTCTTCTGTCACAAGTGGGATTTTTGGCACTCAAAGTTGGATTCTGCCCTGACCACTCGGAGATGCGGTTCTTAAATGGATGTGTTGAAGGGTACTGCCTGGTGATATGCGAGCAATGGTTGGAGGATCCTCCTTTTCGGCTACACATTTTTGAGTTGCATGTCAGTTTGCAATGGAGTACATAGTATTCGCTCGAGAAAACAAAAAACGGACAAGAAAAACAAGGAAGAAGAAGAAGAAGAAGAAGAAGAAGAATAAGAAGAAGAAGACACATGCCGAACCAGGTTTGGGTTGAGAAGCACATCTGCACTTGGCAAGGGAAAATCTAGGGTTAGTGGTTTGTTGCTGATGTGCCGTCCGTGGATGCCCTTGGATAGTGCTTAAAGAGTAATGAACTCCCCAAACCTTGTCAACAAACAAACGGCGGGGGGGGGGGGGGGGGAGGATTCCTCTGTCACCTACCCTTTGGATCCAAAACGGCAAGGCCAAAAGGCTCCACGAACCTCGCGCGATTGGGGATGTTCCTCGGACCAGTTTCCAGCTCGCGCCTGATACGTCTCCAGGTCATCCCAGCCCTTCCTGCGGCCGAAAAGAAGTCCCCAGGCTCCCCTTTTGGTAAGTACATGATCTGTTCTAGAACCTTCCTCTGACTAGTACCGTTCGATCCCCGAAAACAGCTTGAGTACCCCTCAAAATAAAAGGTATGCATGTTTTGATCTAAAGCAACTGGGTGTGGTACGGGTGCACCCACTCCTAGCGTAGCAGCGTTCAACGGCTAAAGACGATCCACAACATGCTTATCCTTGCACCAGGCTGCAAAGCGTCAATCTTGACATGCGCGCAGTCTGGGCAAATTTGGCCCGGTAAGTCTACAAATGGTCTTCTGAAGCAACCGGCGCTTGTCTACCGGTTGTCAGCCTGGACATGCTGTTTTCCATCGAGAAGGTTTCTCAGCGCATTGCTGGCACACCGGCAATACCTAACATTTCGCTCTTGAGAATGCAAAAAGGAAGGGCCGGTAAGCCTCAGGTTTGAGCTTTGCACGGGCAGTTCTGCTCACATGGCTATGACATCCTATGACATAACACGGGCCCCAAAAAACCGATATTTTTGTTTCCACTAAAACTGTCTTCCCAAAAACTGCTTAGTCCAAGAACTCGGGAAGTGAGGAATGAACAAGGGGACCCCCGAAGGGATGGCAACCGAGCAAAGGGTCAGAGGTTTGAAGCAAAAGCCAGCCGCATCCTGATCGCTCGCTGCTTCTGGTAGCCGACGTTGCGGGCCTTAAGCGACGATTTTCAGAAAACTCCAGGCATTAGACACCAAAAGGCCAGAGTCGATTCGCTTTTGTCATCCCACTGCTTTGACCCAGGTGCTTGTGCCCGGACCCAGAACACAGAAGTTTGCCTGTGGACTCAGCAAAACGGGTTGGCTTCCTGTTGTTTTCTCTTGGCGCTCCAAGCGGCTCCAAGAAGGGTCGCCTCACAAGGTTTGTCGTTGGTCATGCTTTTAGCTCCGTTCGATGTGTCCGAGGGGAACAGGTTGCCGTAAAGGAATTCAAGGGTCCGAGTCCAAATACGAACTCCATTTTCAAAGACCCGTTGAAGCCTTGGGGTCTGACAGTCGGTACGGGTGGCTCGTCTTTGCTCTGTTGGGTGGCATAGAAGGAACACCAAAGGGACACCCCACTATTTGAGGGGGTTCCCCCTCCAAAAAAAAAAAGAGCCACCCCTAAAACGACAAGGCGTTCCATTTGCCTTCCAAAATAAACATGCGAACCAACAGGAGGTCCGAATCCCATTTTGAGCAACAGCCCTATGATGAATAAACAACAAAAATGGCAAGGCTTCCCGTTGGCTGTCATCAAAGAATCATGCCAGGGGCCCCTGCAGTGTTCCAGGAAGTGGTCACTTCCTCAAGCGGAATCTGCACCTGGCGGTTCTCAAGGTATGGATCAAGCCACGATCCTTCAAAGACTCCTCCCTGTGCCCTAATGTTGACCCCGGATCTGGAACCCGTCACAGTATCGGGGGGGGTGTCCCCGATCCCCTTCCAAAAGTGATACTCCACCAAAAAAGCACCCCGCCCGTTTTTCATCCACCAAGGGTGTTTGTTCATAGGGCTTTCATTTCATGGGCCTGAGGGCTCTGCAAGTCATGCAAGCTTGAGCTCCGGGTCAGTACCCCCCCAGTTGAAAACACACATCTCAGCGGGAGAGGGGAGACAGAAGCAGAAGCCCGAAGCACGCATAGATTCAAGAGGGTCCTTAGGCCCTTCTGTAGTTTACTTGAAGCCGAATAAAGCACAAATGAATAGCGCCCCAAATCCCCGAACCTTTTGGCTCTCAAGATAAAATAGTTGACAAACACATAAGTTGCTTCCCTCTCATTGGTGGTTCGGATTTGTGGTTTTGGGATTCTCAGTTAAACGCCGGGTTCTTGTAATTGTAGAGGCATGGGAGACTCAAACCACCCCTTTTCACAGCTCCAAGCAATGAGGGCCACCTGAAATCCCAAAAGCGCCAAGGCTTCGGTCCCTTTCCAGGGCTTCCTTTGCAACACAAAAAAACCACGGCAGACAGACACCCACGACGACACCAAAAAGAAAAGCCAAGCACGGAGTTAAGCCAAGCACAGGAAAAAAAAACATGGACGCAACAGAGCGGATTTGCAAAAGAAGATCAAACTAGTTGCTTGCAATAAACCAAACTACTTGCAAACCATCATGGAAAGCAATGACGCCAAACTAAGGCAGTTAGAAACGACACCAAGGAGAAAACCAAACCTGAACCAACAAGCATGCACACGACACATACCAAACAGAACAACAAAGCAACCAAATGGGTGGTTCTCTAAATGACCCCCCCCCCCCCCGCGGCTCCCCCGCAAAACAAAAAATAGCAGGCTTTGTGGTTCCTCCTTGAACCAAAAGAGAGCTCAAATTAACATGAACACAAAACACCCGCAGTGTCTCCATTTGAGGGGACCCCCCTTCCCTTTTGGGATCCTTCCCTTGATTTGTAGGGGAGTCCCCCCAAATGTTGACCCCAGATTAATCAACCCCCAAATCATTAATAGGGGGGTGTCCCTGCGTTTTCTGGGGGTTCATCACTTTTGGAAGGGAACACCCCCATATCAATAAACTGGGGTTGACTAATCTGGGGTCAACAGACCCCCCTCCCCTTTTGAGGTCCTTCCCTTTTTGGATCTTTCCTTTGGTTTGCAGGAGTCCCCCTAAACAAAGCCCAAGATCCATCCGCTCGAGCCACCGACAGCTCCGACAGCTCCGAAGGTCCGAAGGCTCGGCCTGGCGTCCGTCCGTGGCGTCGAAGCGCTGGAAGGGCAGCTGGGGGCAGAACTGCTCCAGCCGTTGCCGGCAGCCTGATCCATCCGACTGACCGGGTGACCGATATATCCCAGCATTTGCCCTTTTGGCAAAATAAGCCCATCTCCCTAACAGCCCCGGAAGCTTCCGGAACCCCCACGCAGCCCTCCCCGAAAGCCCCAAACCACCGAACTGAGACCCCATAGCTTTCAGCGGTTGGGGAATTGAAGAACCATACTGTGGATGGACGAAATCCTCTTAGGCATCACCTGAAAAACCCCGGGGTGATGCTTCCCCTGTAAATACCAACGACACAATGGTTTGCTATGGTTTCATGTGATGCAGGATTTCGTCCACCCAAGTAGGTGCCCCTTTGGCAAAATAGATGGCCCTGGTAAATGGAATGAAACCCATCTAAACCAGTGGAACCCATCTATTTCTAGTTAAACTAATCTAAAATATGGCTGTGGGTCAAAAGTCCCGTACCCCCAGTGAACATCCCAATCCCCACTAAAATAGATTCTAAATGGGTGGTGCACCTACCCCAAAATGGTACCATTGGTGTTGATATATACCCTGTACCCCTGTGAACATCAAAATAGCTGGCAAATGGATGTTCATCCACACCAAAATGCAGCCATAGGTTGTGACCCATGGACATATCCCAGCCAGCCCAGTCGTGGAAAAAGAATTGGCGCCCTTGTTGGGGTTGGCCGCTTGACCGTTTTTTGTTGGTGGGGAACCCGCTAGAAGGGTGCGTGTGGAGCTTGATACTTTGCAACAGGTCGAGCGACAGAAACGCGCCCAACAATTGGACAGGCGCCTCCTTGCCAAGAGTGCTTACACTCCCTGGAATTAAACAGGAAGCTCCGAAGCTTTATTCTTTTATATTTTTTGCAGGTTAGTCGGAAAAACCCGGCTTTTGATAAATGCTAACACAGAAGTCCCTGAAGGTTTTTTGGTCGGCTTCCGCATTTCAGAACACGCAGCTGACTTCCGACAATGGTTTGGGCAACGGCTCAATCAAACCCTCAAAAACCCTACCCCCACCCCCCTAACAAAAACCGAACTCCCCCCACACCCCTTCCAGAATTGGCCCAGAACCCCACCTAGGTACGCCGTACGACTGGGCATGTGGGGGTGAGATTGACTCGGAAACAGCATGTTTTAGCATTAGCGGGCGCACACACCGTAATTTTAAGCGACCGGGGAAATGCCGCTTCACGACTTTTGCGGCTTCACGACTTTTCTCAGGTAGTGAAACTGCTCCTAACATAATCATAGTTTCCCTATTGACACCCAAAAAACAATATGGCAAACGACGAGCCTGCACTTCCATGCTAAGCACACGTGTTCTCCTTCACAGGGAAGTGCAGGGCCCATTTTCAGGTTCTATGTTAGGATACTTTCGTCGGTCAGAACGTGTGTTTTCACTCTCGTTTTTTCGTTTACATGGAAGTGCAGGCTCGAAACCGGCCCCCCGAAGAATCTAGGGTTGTTTTGGGAAACTGCAGGATTGCCGTGGCGAGGGGCACCTGGCACAGATCCTATGTTAGGAGATGGTCGTACCTTCCCAGAAAAAAAAAAGACAGGCATTTCCCCAAGAAACGACGGTGAAGGGACTTCCATGTTAGAGGGACTTCTGAGAGCACGGACTTCCTGTTTAATTCCAGGGAGTGTACATAAAAGGACGAGACGGACTCGCAATCGTTCAGCTCTTGAATCTGCATGTTGATGACGTCGGTGAGTACGTTCTTTTCCCAGCCGCGCACTGCGGTTGTGGTCCCACTTGCATAGCGCTTAATCTCTTTATGTTTTCTCTCCATGGTGAGCACGCGCAAAGCATTTTGTGCTGGCTGAGCTGGCGCCCTAGGTGGCAAGCGAAATGATGCTTTGGTAGGAATCGCTGCTGGCCGTAGGCCAGGATGTAGGAGCGCAGATCAGGATGGCATTTTCCAGGACCGACGCTTGGGTGGACTGCCTCTCAATATTTTGAATCAGGTCAAGGACCCTGGAAAGATTCAAGAGACGAAGCCTTTTGCGAACACCCCTGTACAGGGCTGTGGGGAATGGAATCCACTTCTGTGATACAACAGAAAGGGCCTAACCCCAAAGACGATTTTCTTCATATAAAGGGGGATTCCCAAAAGTATCACAGAAGTGGTTGGAGAAACCCCGGGTGATCAACCACAACCCCGGGCCCCTGTAGGAAGCCCAAACAGAGTCCCCGGATTCCCACGCCCGAACAAAGCGCCAGAGTCCACCTCTCATCTTTTTGCGGGCACCAAAGAACAGTTGAACCCAGCCCAGTGGCTCTGGCGTAAAAAAAAAGAAAGAAAGAAATGGAGCCTGTTCTTGAGTGGCCGGTTTGCAATAGGAAACCCGTCAAGCTAAACTTGCCCGAAGCACCAAATAAAAGATGACGACCCTTTGGAACCTTGACTGGATAAAATGGACCAAAACAGGGAAACCAAAACATCTCTACTCTTGGTATGGTAGCTAAAAACTTTGTTTTTTGCAGACCCCCAGTAAAAATGAAAAAAAACAAAAAACAAAAACAGAAAACAGAAAACATGCCAAGAACAGTGAAGAAAAAAAGTCAGGAAGGTCAATTCGCCCTGGGCAACTGAGAGAAAAGCACGGTCCGCGGTTGCCCAGCCCCACTCGACGAGCGCCACCTCACCCCTCGCCTTCCATGCGGTCCGGCCGGCGGTGCAAATTCACCACCTGGGCGGAAGAAACTTCTCCCCACGTCTCCAGAAAGCGAATCTTGAACCGATCCAAGCGGCAAGGGAATCCTTTTGGTGTCCCTTTGGACATCCAATCACCAGCCAGCCTTGTGGGACCAGGAAGGAACAGCATGAATAGCCAAAAAGTTGAACAACAAGTATTCTGTGTTGTTGCTTTGTTGCTTGTTTTTTCCGAAAAGGCAGGGGTTTCAATCTGGGGGTTGCAGACTGCTCACACGGATGCCGCGGCTCGAGAAGAGCTCTGGGTGGCCATGTGAACGAGCTGAACCCCACGTGTGTTTTTGTTTTCGGGGTTGATCACCATGGGTCCACCATGGGTCCATGGCACCTGAGCGTGGAGGCGCGCATTCTTCCAGCCTAGAATGCATCAGTTGGACATGTACGCGATTCATAAATCCAACACCCGAGGCAAGACACGATCAACACATGCCTTTTCAGCGATATACGTCGCAGGTTCACGACTAAACCCCTGGTTGATTTCACTAGGCGAGTGTCCCGTTGCAATGCACCAGGTTGCCCTGTGCAATTAAGGTTGGCCTTCTTGCTATTGAGTGAGACAAAAGCCATGTCCCCAAGAAACAAGCCTCAAGGTCCAAGCAAACAGCAGCAAGAAGTTGACTCTTAGCTTAAGAGCCATCATCTACAAAACAGTCAGTCTAAACTAGGGTCTTGAGTCTAAAGGTCCAACCAAATAGAAATGGGTCTTTTCAAGTAACATCAAACAAATTACCGTCCAATGGTAGGGAAACGCGCAGCCTTTCAGGGACCCAGTAGCGGTTGATTCATCCGTCACTGCACACAGGACCTGAAAGAAAAAGGTGATCACCTTTTGGAACCTTGACGAAAACATGGCTGCCAAAGGAGGGACAAACCCAAAAAGTCAGTTCCATGGGTGTCCTTTTGGGGCAAATAGATGGCCCTGGTACAGGGGAAGGTGATTAAACCACCAGGTAAACCAGGGCAATCTATTTTTCGACCAAACAATCAACAATACACCCCAACCACCAATGCAAACCACTCTTTTTGAGGGACGCCAAAGTATGGCTGCCAAAAGGGGGAAAACCAACAGGTCAGTTCCGCTCGATATGTGTTGCCACGGAGGTCTGGCTGGGTCCCGAGCGATGCTGTTCAGCTCCGAGATGGCCGGCCGCGACACTGAGGTGATGCGTCGGGCAGCGCGGGTGCGGGCGGGGCTCGCCACAGAGTTGCGGCCTAGGCGCAAGCCGCCCGGGGAAATATACAACAAAGCGCTTGAGGTATTTGTAAACATATATATATATATATGTGTGTTCCTTTTCTCTGTTTTCTTGTATTTTTCTTTTGGGGGGGGGTACCTCTTTATTGGGTTGGTTTACAGGGAACACCAAAGGAAGGCAAGCATTTTGGGGGATCCCCCCAAAAAAAACATTCTCAATTGGGCAAAAGCTGAAAGGGGCTAAAAGTTACCACAGAAAGGCAGGTGGAATGCACGCACAATATGTTTCCGTGCAAGTTGGTATCCATCTGTTTGCACATACTTTGTGTAGATGTGCGCATGATTCTGTCTGTCTGTACGTCTATCTCCCTCTATGTATGTAGGTGGTATTTAAGAAATAATAATACACCAGCATAGACCCCAGATAGCAAAAAACTGGCCAACAATTGCACACCAGCACCTCTGACAGCACCCCCCGAAGAGCAAACACCACCCCCAACAGCACCCCAAAGCACCTGCACCAGCAACCAAACTGCACGCGCCCTAGCACCCAGCCGTCAATCTCGCAAATCTCTTTCCCCTCTTTATTAGAAGTTAGAACTCCTATAGCTTGCAGCTATCTGGGGAAAGAGAAACAAAACTTGCCCTCGTACGACAGCTTTCCGCTGATGCGCTTTGGGGTCCTGAGAAAAAAACAACATTTGCACTCGGAGATTGCGGCTACCCCCACTAGATAGCGGCCCTTCTTGAAAGAACGAATGTTTTTGTGCCAACGGGCATGCTGCCGTCCATGGAACCAACCAGAGGGCCCGGTGAATGGTCCAACCCAGTGGATACGAGGGTTGGAGAGGATCCATAAACATAGCGGTTGACAGGGCCTGAAATTCCTTCGGAACGATCAGAGCTCGCAGCTGTCACCAAACTTTGCTCTGTGCAGCTCCCATCTACACGTCAGAAACAAATAGAAACCATGAAGCAAGAGCCAGGAACATGGGGCTGGCTTCCGTTCGGCCATGGAAAAGTTTGGGTGTCGTTCGGTTTGAGGGCGGGAAAGGACTCGAAGGCCCCACCCCCAGCTGGCTCTCAAAGGACCTCCTGGCACCCATATTCCATCCCCCCAACAAGCCCTTCCAGCAAAGCGGCAGATTTTCATGGAGCGCGCCTTTTCAACATGCCGGATGGGTTCCAGGGTTCTGTTAAACAGATGACTAAAACATGGTCAGTCAAACTAGCAGGTAGTGCTAAACGAAAAATGATTTTAGATCCAATTCGTCAGGGAAAGCTCAATGTGCAGCTCCAGGGATCTCAACTTCTCGACGTTTGCCCCGGAAGGCTTAAGCCCAGGAGGTTCCAGGTACAAGCCCTGGCTGGCTAAGCTGGGGCGCTGGCGCTTTAGGCACTTGCCTCCAGCCTCGCCCTGCGATGAGCAGATTTCCCGAAGTAAAGACTTCCATTTGCTTTTTCCCCCTTTTTTTGTTTTAAACAGTAGTGATAGATCGGCTTTACACCCAGTGTTCTTAAGCAAATTGGATGAAGAAGAACTGAAGCAAATGGGCCAAACGGGGAGACTGTGCCACCCTTCACCCAACTCCTTTGGCTGCATTTCCGAGAGGGTCCAAGTGCCTTCTAATTCCCAGAGGGTCCAACAGCCATCCTCAGGAGGTACCAAGGGACCCTCTAGGTGTGGATGCAGAAAAATGGATGGCGTGAGATGGCGAGATAGAAATTGCCTTTGTCTCAAGAGATGGCGACAGGGGCTCACGTCGAGAGTCAAAGTCCGGCTGCTTCCCACGTAATGAAAATACCGGCGGGACATGGCAACTCTCTGCCTGAGACTCCTGGAGCAAAAACCAACGTGTTGCAGTTGAAAAGGCAGCAAATTTGGAAGAGTCAAACATTCTAAAGGGAGTGCCTCTCAAAAACACATGAGAAAAAAAAGGCAAACTGCACAAGTGCCCGCCCACCTGTCTCTGTCTGTGTGTTTGTGTTTGTGTGTATTGCAGGCCGAATGGGAGGGTGCACGTTGCTTTCACTTGCGCCATTGCTGTGGCCCCAAGTGTTGCTTTGGTTGCCTAGGCCTTTGCGCATTTGCGTTGCGGTTCTGCAGGCTTGTTGGCCTGGATCTACTTTTCCAGCGGCGGTGAGGCCATGAGTGACATGGCCTTGTGGTACATGTGTGTGTGTGTGTGTCCACGTGCTCCTGAAGTCTCACTTAGAGCTTAAAAGCAAACCAACCACCAAGTGAACTCGAAGCTCAACATGTTGCCTTGCTCAAGGTCACTGTGGGATCCGCAACCAAAAGTGACCAATTACATCCCCACACCCAACCGCCCTCATCCATGCACCACTTTGTTTGTACCATTCCGGAAGAAATACAAAAGTTGGAACTGGCAGCCTGGGGCCCTGTACGAGCTTTTGCCATACACTTACAAGGGTCTAAGTGACTTGGGAACTTCCGTGCCTAGCTTGCCTGGAAGTAAAAGGCTGCAAATGCTGGATCTTGATCCTTGTCAGAGCGGTCAAACGATTCCCTAAGTTCAAAACGCAACGGGTTGGATGTGTCATGTTTTAGGGTAGTTACCCTTCTTGCGGTCGTTCCACAGTGAGAAGCCATCACAAGGCCACCGATTTGTTGGCTCCAGCAGATTGAAAAAAACGTTCGAAATGATATACGCTCCATTACATTGACATCCTTCAACGCAACCTTAGGAACCCCGCAACATGTTCACTTTAAGGGATCCACCAAAAAGGACAACAACATCACACCTCTTCGCGCCCCAGCCTGTGTCCTCTTGCGGCTGGCCTGGAACATGGCTTCCTGAAGTGTCAAATTCAGGAGCCGGCCTTTCCACCAAACCTGACCCCAGCTGTTTGACCTCGATGTTCCTTCGGGGTAGGCCCAATTCCTGAGTGGGCAAGACGGTCTTCCCAAAAGGTTTAAAGTCCATCTCAGGAAGCGAGTAGCGCTAGAGACACGATCGTCTCCCCTCCCCGCAACCCGCAAGTTTTCGCCAATGTCACATGGCTTGCCAAAGCATAGACCCTGGCAAGGGGTACTTGGGTTCATTGCCATCACCTAAAAATTGCTTAGCAGGCCATCTCTACTCTTGGTATGGTAGCTAAAAACTTTGTTTTTTATGAACAG